GCCCAGCGACTCGCCCGGGCTGCGCGCCGGGACGCGCTGCCGCCGCGGACGCCCTTCCACCCCCGCCCCCGGGCCTCGCGGAGAGAAGGTAACAGCCGGCCGGCCCGTGGGTCCTCGAGCCCCGGGTGGGCGTGTACGCCCGCGAGGACTCTGCACCCTGCTAGGCTCTCGGGGGCTGGGGTCGGGGAAGGGGGCCAGCCTGCCAAAGCGCCCCCGGTGCCAAGACGAAGGCCCGGAGCGCTGGCCGCGGGAGCGCCACCGGGACGCTCCAAGTTTTCGGGTTGTTTTGCAATATTCGAGGCGGGCGGAGGGGGTGAGTGGTGGACGCGGTTGCGGGAGGAGGGGGCGAGCGGGCCGTCTACGCTCCTTCCTGCCCTGGGAAAGGAAGGGAAGGAACGGGGAGGGGGCGACGTGTCGGCCGGCGAGGAGGCCGGCGCGGAGAGCGGGAAGTGGGGGGGAACCGCTGGCGAGATGGACCAGGCACCCTGCCCCCTCCCCAACCGCCGCATTCCAGGCCCGAGCAGCGGATGAGGTCATCCTGTCCGGTTCCCCTCGGGCCAAGGCAGCCGGCTGCCCCTTTCCCCCGCGGAGCGACCCTCCGCACGCTAACCCCTGCCTCCCGGAGGGGATGCTTTATGGCTCAAGTCTTTCCCGGACTTCCACTCCCGACTGCCCTCGAGATTGTTCTGTTCTTGCCGAACCATGCAAGACTCGCGAAGTTTGAAACCCATTTTCTGGACCGGGAAACTGAGGCTCAGAGAGGCGAAAGGACTGTCCCGGAGGCCACAGCCGCACGAAACGCGGCGCGGGCACTGGAACCCGGGACTGGGGGAGACTCTGCCCGCGGCCGCTCCGTCTCGCCCAGTCGAGGGCTGATTCAGCTCTGACTTGGGGTGGTGGGGCAAGAAGCTTCTCTCCTCCCCTTCCTCCTTCCTCCCCTCTGGCCCATGGGGCTCCCTCCTCCTGCCCCCTTCAGAGTCCTGAGAACGGGGTCCCCGCTGCCACCGCAGACAGCTTGTCCCCCCCATTCGGGGCTCAGTTTCCCTGTCTCTCCACCTTGAAGCGGCTGGACTTTGAGGGGCATGAGGAGCCAGCCCCCCGGGAATGAACGCTTTATTCCAGAGGCCAGAGCAGCCCCAACCAAGACAAGGTCCCGCTGTCCAGCGGTGGGGGTGGTGTTACCCAGCTGGACACTCGCGGGGAGGGGCTGTGTGCACGCCAGTGGCCTCCAGGACGAGAGGTGGTGCCGCGGGCGCACGCGGCGGCCTGCGGGTGGCCCCCAGGTGAGCGCCGGCCCCTGCCTCCGCTCTGCCCCGCACGCAGCCGTCGGACGCCCCCGGCCTCTCCCAGCCACACGCGCCTCCACAGCGGCCCCTGTTGGCCTCTCCGAGCGCACGTTCCCTACCACCCGCCCCACACCTCGTCCTTGCGGTCATTACCACCATTGAGTAAGCTCCTCCCCCGTGCCCGGGCCTGACTGTCCTCTGTGGGGCGAATATGAGGGCCCTGGGACGCTGCGGCTGCGCGGTGACCACTCATGTCCAGGTCGCAGGCACTGAATCTGCAGAGCTGTCTCCTGTCTCCCAGGCCTGCCCTTGCCTGCGCAGCGGCTGGGCCTCGCGTCTTCCAACACCTCTCCCTGTGCCCCTATGGTCTCCCCCCTCCCCCGGCATTTACTATCGACGTTGGTAGAATCCTGGGGGGGATCCCCAGCCACACCACTTCTTTCGCTCTGTGACCTGGGGCGAGTCAATTCCCTTTCTGTGCCTCGTTTTCATCTGTAAAGGGGCGTTGTGAGCATTAGCGTGTAGTATTCCTGGGCTGGCGAGGGAGATGGGCCTTACCCCAGGACCAGAGACAGAGCCCCGCGTACTCTAGGGCCAGGAAGGGCACACCTGATGGCCAGCAGTACCCCGTGGCCAGCATCAAGTGCCAAATAGCTGCCACCAAGGGTCCCCAGAATGAGATGTCAGCGTAAGGATGTTGGATTTGAACCCCAGGCTGCCCTGCCTCAGGATCTGAGGGTTTAGTTACAGCACCTTCCACTCTTACAGCTCCCCTGGGAGGGGGCCAGCCTTCGCTGCTGTTCTCATGTTCCACGTGGGGAAACAGGCCCCCGGTAGCAGTGCCCAGTCCCGGCCCCACAACTCGGCCGGGTCTCTCTTTGGCAGTGGGCAGGGTGTCACACAGTGACCTCTCCATGTGATGTTCCAGAATGACCTCCCCCCCAGTGCCTTTCCCCAGAGATTCATGCCTCATCTCTGCAGAGCAGGCAAACCTGCCACGTGACCTTGGCCAGGTCCCTTCCCTCGGAGCCTTGGCTCTCCTGGTAAACGGGCTAACCCTGCGGCTTCTCGGGGCCGTTGGAGAATCAGATGACATCATGGAACGGCTGGCCAACGGCAGAGCGCTTCATCACTTCAGCAAACATTCCACGAGGCCTTCTCGGTGCTGGGGGTGCCAGGGAAAGGGATGATTCAGAACCGCCCCCCCCGGGGGGAGGAGTTAGGTTTGGGGGAGGATCAGATGGTGGGAAGGGAAGAGAATGTAGTCAGAAAACAAAGCTAGCTTTGTCTTATTGCCTTCCCTGTTTTTATCTTGTTATTTAACCTATTTTGAATTTCAAATAACATTCAAAGGGCAATACTGAGATTTTTATGCTTGGAGGTGGCAGCAAATTTTTTTTAAAAAAAGTTAAGACTGAGATCTAGGTGTTCTTGTTAAGGATCGTTATCAGCTTTCATCAGCTGAGGTCCCAGGTTGGGGGAGGTAAGTGACTTGCCCAAGGTCACATTGTGAGGCCACTGCATCCCTCTCCTGCCTCACTTGGAAGGTAGCAAGAGGTGATCGTTTGGCATGAAGGTTGTCACAAAGGTCTCCTGTGACTAAACCAGAATTAATCGGGCACTTGCAGCTTGCAGAGCCCAAGCTGGGTCCTGGGAGGGAGGAAGGCAGGAAAATCCAGGCCGCTGCCCCACACTCAGCGTGCGTGGCGGCTCTGGGGACACAAGACTGGGCTCCAGAGCCAGTAAAGGCGACGTGAGTCAGAGGCTCTGAGTTCAAGTCTCAGCTAGCTCTCTCGAATGACCTTGAGCAAGCTTGGCCCCTCTCTGAGCCCCAGGAAAACCAGAGGTCAGACCACAGGCTTGCAGGTGTCCTCCAGCCCACACTTTCTATGATACTGGAAGGGATGAGGTCAGACCAAGAGAAGCTTAGAGAAGACTGGGGCTGGGGAGGAGTTGGGGGGCAGATTAGAAGGGGAGGGAGTGAGCAAGGAATGGCTTTTGGCACCAATTGAGTTTCTTCCAAAACTTGTTCCCTGACGACAAGGCTCCTACGTCAACTTGACAAACTAAGATAAGGTTCTTTCCCGAAGGCCTTCTCAGAGCCTTGACTATGCTCGGGCATGCAGGAGGCAGCTGGCAAAAGCCACTTTTGAGCACAGGATCCTTTTTCCAGGAAGCACCTTGAAGGCGGAGGGTTCTGAGGAACGTCTGCTCAGGCTGTTTACAGAGTAGTTCACCCGGCCTTGGGCGGGGCACCTCCTCCCGCTGGACCTCTCTGAGTGGAAGACAGTTTAACCCACAGGGAAGGGAGGTGACTTGCTCAACCCGCCAGCAGGAGGCAGTGTAGCTTGGTTCTCGAGGTTTGGGGGGCCCTGCTTCACCATTTCCTACTGTGTGGCCTCAGGCAAGTCACTGCACTTCTCTGCACCTCAGTTTCTCCTCTGGAATCTAGTGCCTCCCTCAGGGCTGTTGTGTGGGTTAAATGAGGGATGGACAGAAGGCCCTGGCACTTAGTAGGTGCTTCATGAGTGGGCCCTGTATAATGACCTTCATACTCTTTTTTTTTTTTTTAATTTTTTATTTATTTTTTTTTTCCACCAAAGCCCCAGTAGATAGTTGTGTGTTATAGCTGCACATCCCTCTAGTTGCTGTATGTGGGACGCGGCCTCAGCATGGCCAGAGAAGCGGTGCGTCGGTGCGCGCCCGGGATCTGAACCCGGGCCGCCAGTAGCGGAGCATGCACACTTAACCGCTAAGCCACGGGGCCGGCCCTGACCCTCATACTCTTTACTGATACACATCTTAAGTATACAGCTCAATGAATTTTTTGGGCTCCTCCCAGTCAATACTGCTCAAAGGCAACCACAATTCTGATTTCTATCAGTATTTTTGAGTTTTGCCTGTTCTTAAATGTCCTATACATGGACTCACGGCGTGTCCTCCTTTGCATCTGTCGGCATTTTGTCGGTGGTCCACATCCCTGTAGCTGGGGGTAATCGTCTGTCCTCTTTAGCTGTTATTATTTGGACTCAGAATCCCCCTGGCCTACCATCACTTTTCTGTGTGTTTCTTTCAGGTCTCCACCCCTGGGCAGGAGAGGCTCTGTCCGCATTTGAGGCACATCTCGTGCCTTCTGTCCTTGGACGGAACATCTCCAGCTGCTGCCACAGGGCCAGGAGCCCGGCCTCCGAGAGAGAAAAGCCATGGACCCCCCACAGCCTCAGCCTTTGGGGGCCGCACCTTAGGAGAGCAGCAGGGCAGCCTCCATCCACCCCGTTCCACCAGGAAGGAGAGAGCTGAGACGCAGACCCTGAGCGCAGCCCTTTGCCCTCCCCAGGCCCCAGGTGGGCATGGACCAGCAGCTGTGAACAGCCAGAGCTGATGCCAGGTCCCCAGGGGGCCGGAGGAGCCCCCACCATGAGCCTGGGCAAGCTCTCGCCCGTGGGCTGGGTGTCCAGCTCACAGGGGAAGAGGCGGCTCACGGCAGACATGATCAGCCCCCCACTCGGGGACTTCCGCCACACCATGCACGTGGGCCGCGGTGGGGACGTCTTCGGCGACACATCCTTCCTCAGCAACCACGGGGGCAGCTCCAGGGGCCACCACCGCTCACCCCGCAGCTTTCTGGCAAAGAAGCTGCAACAGGTGCGCAGGGTGGGGGCGCCCCCCCGGCGGATGGCGTCCCCGCCCGCACCCTCGCCCGCGCCACCTGCCATCTCGCCCATCATCAAGAACGCCATCTCCCTGCCCCAGCTCAACCAGGCCGCCTATGACAGCCTCGTGGTGGGCAATCGCAGCTTCGACCGCAGCCCTGCCGCCTCTACGGACGGCCACTCCAGTTATGGTGAGGCACGGGCTCTGCACCCGTTGTTCAGAGGCTGAGCCCAGAGGGTTCGACGGTTCAGCCAGAGCTCACAACCCCTATAGTAGCTTGGCCGCACCATGGAGATCAGGCCCAAACCCCCGACCGTGGATGGGGAGTGGGTGAGGGGTGGGACCCACTTTCCAAAACACACTGAGGCTGACAGGCGAGGAGATGGGGTTTGCCTTCTGCCTACCCCTAACCTGCCTCCCCTCTCTGGGCCCTCGGCTGGGCCAGCCCACCTCCTCCCTCCTTCAACCGAAGCAGCCCCCTTGGGTCAGGGTGATAGAGTGGGGAGACCAAGAGCCTGGGCTCTGGATTCAAGTCCTGGTTCTGCCTGATTTCCAGTGAGCTGACTGACCTCTGTGACGTCAAGTCCTGGCCTGTATGATGGGTCCCTTAGGGTCATTGCTAAGAATCAGTGCATCAGGTGTGGCCCAGAATCCAGCACATAGTAGGCGCTCAGGACACGGGAGCCGTTGTTGTGTTGTTATTCGAACAGAGGTTCCTGTAACTTGACAAATTGGGAAACCGCTCATGTGGACAGAAGCCAGAGGCCCTTCCTGCCCTGGTGGGAAGTGGCGGGTGCCGCTCGTCTGGGCTGGACAGCTCACCTGGGAACCGGGGCCTCTGCTGCCACCTCGTGGCCATTCCCTGCCCTGCGGCTGTGCCTGACCGCCAGAGGCTTCCTCCTGTGCTCCCGGCTCCCGGGCATCTGCTCAGAACCCCGCTGAGGGCTGGTCCGCAGTAACCCCACTCTGTCTCGGGCCTGGTGGTCATGGAGCCGGGCGCTGCACCACAAGAACTTTTGGAGGGCATCTGCCTGTGCTTTGAGGCTGATTTCTTTGCAGTCAGACTCTGGCTGCTGGTTCCATCCCTGTGCCCACAAACCAGCCCACATGCTGTGGGTTCACCTGCAGCCGTCGGCCACTGTCATGGCAGGGGACCAGGGCCATGGCCAAGTTCACAGCCGGGACTTGAGTCAGGAGATCTGAGCTCCAGGCTTGGCTCCACCCCATCAGACTCTGGCCCTGAGCAAGCCCTTCCCCTCATCCCAACCTGAGCCTCACTTTATTCATCTGCAAAACGTGAATGAGGATGTCAATTTTGAGCTTCAGGGTTGAGAGGAGGATCATACGAGAGACTACAGGGTTCCCTTTGTTGCAAAGATGGGAGAAACTGAGGCCAGGTGGGGAGGGACTTGCTAGAGGCCACGTAGCAGGCTGCGGTTGGTCCTGGCTGGCCCCTCCCCAGCTGTGACCCCGCTCCCTGTTTCTCTTCTAGGCCTGGACTCCGGGTTCTGCACCATCTCCCGCCTGCCTCGCCAGGAAAAGGCTCGTGAGCGAGACCGTGAGAGCTCCTTCCCCCCTGAGCCTGAGCTCCGCCGCTCGGACTCCCTCCTTTCCTTTCGCCTGGACCTCGACCTTGGGCCCTCTCTCCTCAGCGAGCTCTTGGGGGTCATGAGCCTCTCGGAAGCCTCTGCAGCTGAGGCCCCAGCCCCAGCCGCAAACCCCTCAGCCACTGCTACAAGCCCCCCAGCCCCTGTTGCAAACCCCCCACCCCCTGTTGCGAGCCCCCCAATCCCTGCCGCAAGACCCCCAGCCCCTGCCTCCAGCCCCCCACCCCGTGGACACTGCCCCAATGGGGTAACCGCTGGGTTGGGCCCAGTGGCTGAGGCGAGGGCCAGCCCTGTAGGAGAACGTCCCCGTGCACCTGCTGACATGGCTCCTGGCAGGCACTGGGGAGCAGGCTGGGGCTGCAGCCAGGGCAGCCGCCACTACACTGAGATGGATGCTGGGCAGGAGCTGGTGGGGGTGCTGCCCCAGGCTCAGGCCTCTTGGGAGAGCCTGGACGAAGAGCGGGGGGCACCCCAGGCAAGCAGCAGGGCCCCCGTGCCCAGCACGGTGCAAGCAAACACCTTCGAGTTTGCTGATGCCGAGGAGGACGATGAGGTCAAGGTGTGAGTGGCCGGGTGTGGGCTCAGGACCCTGCACAGCCTCGGGGCACTGCCCTTGAGCCCAGGTGCAGAGCCAGCACCTCCCCTGATAGTAGAGTCCTGCCAACGACACAGGAGAGCCCAAGTTGCTCCCAGACCCCTCCATGCTTCTGCAGGACGAGCATGGGAGGGAGGCCGCAAGAGACCGGGCTTGTTCTGGGACCCGGGTGTTCCCGTGGGCCCTGCTGGGCTGACCTGCCTCCCCCCACTGCCCTTCTGGACCCAGTGGCCATTCCTTAGGTCCACCCCCCACCCCGTGCCACCCCCACTAGCTGGAGGGGCCAGCCTCACAGTGCAGCCTTTGTGCTGGGGAAGCTGTCCTTGCTGAGGGGGCGGGGGGCAGCCTACCACACAGGGCCTTTGTCCCTCCCAAAGGGACCGCCTGCCCCAGCTCGTCCTGGAGCTGCCCCCAGCAAGGGATGCAGCCCTCCCAAGGCTGCTTCCCCTACATTCCCACTCGAACCCCCCACTGGTCCCAGAAGCCTCAGAAAAGTCAGGTGGGACCTCACAGGGGAGGAACCCCACCTTGCTGTGCACCCCAGACCTGCCTCTGGGCCCCGATTAAAAAAGGCTTTTTGATAAAAGGTGTCCTTCAAGATGGTCGGGGACCTGGGAGAACAGCGCCTGCTCCACCTGCGTAAATACCCTCAGCATCCGGTTTGGAAAGGCAAGGACCCCCACCTCGGTCCCCAGGGAGGGAAGGGCCGAGGTGGGGGGTAATGAGTAACCAGGCTGGAATGACTGTTCCCGCGATAAGAGGCGCAGGTGGGAGCCCTTATCTGCAGTTCCTGGAACGGCCCCTGCCCAGGTGCCTGGAGCCTGTGTCTGCCCCATAATCCCACAGGGCAGCTTGGCACTTGGCCCCGTGATAATAGGGGACAGGTAGGCAGGAGTGGGTGCTTAGGGTATTTGGGAGCGTGTCCCAGCCCCCACTTGGCAGTCCCATGACTTTGTGCCTCAGTTTCCTCGTCTGTACCCTGAGGATGCTGGGAGCATTAAAATGGGTGGGCAACACTAACCACAGCTGCCACAGACGGACTGGACAAAGGTGGATTCTTTTGTTTGTTCTTCGTTTTGGGGGAGGAAAATGGGGTCAAAGGGGCAGGAACTGCAGGTGGGGAGCCAGGCCCTGGAGGCTACTGACCCTGTGTGAGGGGGAAGAGGCTCAGGAGAGGGCGTCCGGGCTGGGTGTCTTTCATCCTGGCGAGGTGCTGACCACTCATTCAAGCTTGAAGGAGGAGAGGCTGAACGCACCCTGCATCCTCAGGTAGCTCACGTGGCTGTGGCCCAGCCTACTGGGAAAGGTCAACAGGTGCCAGTCTGGCAGCTTCACTTTGAATCGTCATTCTCAAAGGTCACGATGAACTGCGGTGGGAAGGGGGTGTCAGGGAGGCAGGAGGACCCTGGAAATGGGCCAGGGCGGTGCCTGGTGGCTCAAACAGTGCCGGCACGTGTCTAGGCCAGGGTGCCCTACCATCTGGGCTCTCCCCTTGACATCTTCCTCAGGCCCCTTTCCCCTTTGACCTCACCTTGACCTCTGACCCTGCGCTGAAGCATATGTGATTTTCCCGTTGCTCCTTCCCCCAGCTGTTGCCATCCCGTGAGTTGCAGATGATGGTGGATTCACGGAAGCGTGGGTTGAAATGCAGGTTCAGCTTATCTGTCCCCTGGCCCAGATTAATCACAAAGCTGCAGGGGAAGGGATAGCAGGTAAGGATTAGGAGCCAGCCCTGGGTAAAACAGCTTGGGTTGCAGGGTTTTGGTTGACCACAAGCTGGGAGAATCGCCAAAGAAAAGCCGTATTAACTGAGGTCTGTGCCTTAAAAATAAAGGAGGTGGCAACCTGGTCAGACTTGGCACTGAAGTATCACGTTGCATTTGAAGCGCAGACTTAGGCTCTCAACAGGAGGGTAACTGATAGTGACAGTTGCAGGAATTGGGGCTGTCTATCCTGCGAGAGAGAATTGCTATCCTTAGCTATCTGAAGACCTAAAAAGTTTGTCATAACAGTTGTCAACCTAGGGTGGTGAGCTCCTTGTCATTAGAGGTATGTGGTCAGGGGTTGTGTGACCTCTTGGCAGGATCACTACAGGAGCCTGGGTTAGACCTTCAGGGTCCCTGAGAGCAGGATCTTCTGAGTATGGGGCGCCTTCAGGAGGAGGTCTCAGACCAGAGGTAGCCCACATTTCTGCAGCCTTGAGGGACCTGAGTAGAAGAGAGGGGCGACTTTTCTCTTGGCTCCTACCCCATGCGTCTGCCCACACTCCCCAACCAAAAGTTGATGGAGATCAGTCCAAGAAATACGGAAGCTGCTCTGCCCCCAGGGGAGCCTATGCTGAGCCGGAACCCCTGGGGTGGGTAATGTGTCTGGTTCTAACAGGATGCAAACGAGACCACTTGGCGCCCCCTGGTGACTATCCCTGGTTTAACATGTGTGACAGGCCCACCTCTGGCCATTCAGCCTGGTACAGAGGGGGGTGTGGGTTGGGCTTTCAGGAGAGACACCGCCCCACAGGGGCTGGGTAGAGCCCCAGGGGCTTCTCCGCCTGCCCCCTCAGTGTCTGTTGGGGCCCAGGAACAGAGCACGTGGCATGAGCTGTGAAACCCCGAGGGTCCCCAGACACAGCCTCAGATGTGAAGGCAGGCCCTGACGGGGGAGCCGCCAGCAGGGCTGTGGGAGTGGGGTGAGAGCGAGCGAGGATGTCAGGAAGGCCCCCTTGGCCTAAGGGGCTCGCGTCTCTGACCGTCTCACAGGGCCGCCCCGCCTGTTCCAGGTCTGTGGACAGTCCCCCCCACCCCCCAAGCCTGGCTCACCTATCAGCATCACTGGCGATCTTGCCCTTGATCCTCAAAGTCGTCCCCAGCCTCATGTCCATGTTCGTGATCTCAAATTTCCCCTGAGCCAACAGAGAAACACCCCGCAAAGAATCGATCACACGCACGCCCCACGCTCTCCTGTGGGGACCCCCATTCACCAGCGTCGTCCCACCTGGCCATGGGTCTCCCTTTCCCTCCACACACACGAGGGCACTAGGAAGGGAAGGAGCTGGAAGGCTCGGATCAAAGCTTTCCAGAGCCCCCTCTCCCTGTTTTCTTCTCTCTCCACGCCAGCCTGATTAGAAGAGCAGTGGATCGGGAGATGGCCCGGCTGAGGTAACCTCGGTTCACCCATCTGTGAAATGGGTAGAGTGGTCCCTGCTGACCTCACAGTTCCAGATGTGTTCAAGTGATGAAGGCACGGCACCCTTGGCAGAATCCCCCAAACAAGGATTTGTTCAGTTCCTGCACAAACTTAGAGTCACTTTACTAACAGGAAATGACTATTTCCTGCAGGTCTTGGCCCACTCGAAACCAAGAATCTGTAAAACTCCATAAGTCATGTGTCTGAACACGTCCATCAGCGTCCCTCTCCAAACCTCACTTTCCTCATCTGTAAAATGGGCTAATTTGATTTATTCAAAACCAGTTGCTGAGGCCCGCTCTATGACAGACACTGTTGGAGGCCCTGAGGTTAACAGCCCACCTTCAAGCTGGATGGAAGAAGCGAGATCATGTTTGTGAACCCCACTCATAGGGCCTGACACAGACGGAAGGCAAATCGAGTGGCGGCCGTCATTATGATTACTCATTGTTATTATTCATTTACTCCTTCTTTTTCCATAGGACCTCGGCAGCGCCTGAATTTCTGTAGAGCAGAAGCTTCCCACAGCTGCACTGTGGTTGAAAGGGAGGCGGTGGAAGCTGGGTTTCCAAAGCTTGTTACCCAACACTGAGAAAATGTCCATTTTTCACATCCATGATTGGAGGATGTGGGGTCGGGCTGGACAGGATGCAGGAGGCACCAAAGGTTTAGAATCTCCCAAAGATTTGTGGGAGAACACGTTTACATCATGGGAGTTCCGTTCATGGATATGCTTGTTGGTTTGTTTTCTGGAAGGAGCACACCTGAGAAGCCCTGAGCCAACGCACAGGCCTGGGCGCTTTGCTGTAAGTCAAGGGCAGTGTCCATGAGAGGATGATCGGTACTCCCCCGCTGGCGGCAGCCTCCTTTCTGCGAAGTAGGAAAGTGATCCGCGGGTTCGGGGGGTGCCCAGTTGTCCCAGAGCCAGTGCATTTTAGAAGGAAGGCCTGAAGGAGGCGGTGCATCGCCCGGGAGAGTGGGCAAGGCCGTCAGACACCACGATGCCCTAGAGCAGCTTTCTCAGTCTCCGCCCTCCTGACACTTGGGGCCGGGGAACTCTTTGTGGTGGGGTTGTGCTGTTCATCGCAGGAGGTTGAGCAGCGTCCCTGGTCTCCATCCACCAGATGCCAGTAGCACCCTCCCCCGAGTTGTGACAACCAACAATGTCTCCAGACGTGGCCAAATGTCCCCTGGGGGGCTAAATCTCTCTGCCTTAGAGAGAGCGTGGTTTGGAGGCAGGAGGCCTGACCCCCCAGAATGATGCTTAATGCAATGGCTGGATCACCATCTTTAGAACTGGACAGGCTGGATTAAAATTCCCTTCAGCCTCTCACAGATAGACAGAGAACTTTACCACTTGGAGAGGAGATTATCCACTCCCTCCCAAGGAGGTTCAAACGTTATGAGGAACTCACAGGCACCCACAGATGCGTACTCTGCAACACGCACACTTCCACCACTAAGAGCAGGACGAGCCTCCCTGTCTCCCCCCAGGACCCTGGAACATCGGGGTGGGGCTGGGGTGGGGAGAAGCACCCCCACTCCCTTCATACCTCCTGGGGGCTGCCTGGCTGACACAGAAGAACCCAAGCCCCCCAAGATGGAGGTGGGGGCTGCCGTGGGGCAGGAGCGTGAGAAAGGCCAGGGCCAGGGGTACATCTGGACAGACAGGGCTGCCTGTGGGGGTGTACAGGCCCAGGATCCTTGTCCGGACTCAACAAAGTTCGAGGCCCAGAGAGAGACAGGGAGGCAAAGCTGGGGGGAGGTGGGGGCAGGTGTCAGCGGTCAGGGAGCTAGTCCCAGCTCTGCCTCTAACTGGCTGAGTGACCCGGGGCCAGCTGCGCCCCTTTCTGGACCTCAGTTCCCCCATCTGTAACATGAGAGATTTGGACCAGGTGGTCTCTGGGGAAGGAGGCAGAGAGGGGAGGGGTGGAACAACCAGGGGAAAGAGCAAGTCAGGAAAATCTTGGGGCTACAAACATCCTCCCTGAGCGTGGGTGGGGGAGAGCATCATCCCTCCACACTTGACCTGCTCCGGTCACCTTCCATCCTCACCCCATCTGTACTGGCTTGAATATGTCTCCCAAAAAATCATGTCCACTTGGAGCCCGTGAATGCGACCTATAAAGTCTTTGCAGATGTAAGCAAGTTAAGACGAGCTTGTACCGGTTTAGGATGGGCCCTGATCCAGTATGACTGGTGTCCTTACAAGAAGAGGGAAATTAGGCACAGAGACAGACCCACAGAGAAGGCCTTGTGAAGACGGAGGCAGAGGTGGGAGCGGTGAAGCTACAAGCTGAGGAATGCCACAGACTGCTGGCAACCACCAGAAGCTGGAATAGACAGGAAAGGATCCTCCCCAGAGCCTTCAAAGAGAGCCTGGCCCTGCCAACAACTTGATTACAGAGCTCTAGCCTCCAAAACTGTGAGAGAATCAATTTGTTACAGCAGCCACAGGAAACCAACATACACCATCTAATCCTCGGAAGATGCCATCTGTGATCCAATTCCACAAATGTGGGAGGGAGACTGAGGCTCAGAGAGGGGTAGTGACTTGTCCAAGGCCACACAGCAATCTATGACAGAGCTAGGTTTGGAATCAAAGAGTCTATGACCTCAAAGAGGATCCACTCAAAGTGCTGCAATTTACAGATTCTAACCTTGGGCCATTTAATCTCCGAGCCCCAGTTCTTCATCTTTATGAAGCTCAATAGATGTTAGCAGTAATTATTATTATTACTGCTATTGTTATTACTGATGAGAAAACTGAGTCTAGATTGGGGAGGAGACAGGCTCAGTCTCCCACAGCAGGACAGTGGTGGAGGGAGCAGAGAACCTTCATGCTAAAGGGCTGGGGGGACGATCTGTCCAACTTCCTCGCTATACAGATGGGGAAACCAAGGCCGGGAGAGGGGCAGCAACGTTTTCCCGCAGCACCCCCGCCCCACCCCCACTCAGGCAAAGACCCAGATGAATGGAGGAGGTGGGTGGTGGGGGAGCCAGCATCCTCACCGACATGGTGGCGGCTCCTGGTGGCAGCTCTCGGTAACTCCCGGAGACCTGGGCTCAGGGTCTCCCTTCACGGTCCAGCTTATATATCCTAGAATATTACACATTAACTCCCCCAAGGCCATAAATGCGGACTTTGGTCCCTTCTGTCTGGGTGTCTGTCTGCCCACATCGCCGGTAGCCAGAACAAACAGGTGGAAGGCTCCTCACCCGGACCGACCCCACCCAGCCCAGAGCATCCTCCCGGCCTCCCTCCTGCCCAGCCTCCCTCCTCCTCCCAGAGCCCAAGGGAGGCTGCCCGGCCAGGGGGAGCGCCAGACTGTGCACCAGGAGCCGGGCACAAACGCTGTGTGAGCTTGGCAGGCCACCCAACGTCCCTGAGCCCCACTTCCTCCTCATCCTTAAACAGAAAGACATGCTTTGTGAAAAATCTCTAAGCTGCTCATTTTCCGTGATGTTGGAATTCATTTTGAGGGAGTATTTTGTTTTGTTCTGTTTTCTCCTCTCACTCCATGATTTTTCTGATGGTACATGTAAGTTTTAAAAGCAATACATGATGGATTCAAGGACAACGTCTAGAAGTATCCACAACAAACTTAAAAGTGGAGAAGGGAGTGAGGGCTGAGGTGGGGGGTACTGGCGATCTAAATGTTTTGTCTTTACTTCTGTTACGTAGGTAATTGACACGCTTACCACAGGCAGTTAGAGAATTAAAGAAGAAAAGGGACTGGCCCAGCGGCATAGTGGTTACGTTCGGCGCGCTCTGCTTCAGCAGCCCGGTTCATGGGTTCGGTTCCCGGGGCGGACCTACACCACTTGTCAGCCACGCTGTAGTGGTGTCCCGCATACAAAATAGAGGAATATTGGCACAGATATTAGCTCAGGGCTAATCTTCCTCAAGCAAAACACGAGGAAGATTCGCGAGGGATGTTAGCTCAGGGCCAATCTTCCTCAGCAAAAACAAAAGAAGAAGAAGAAGAAAAAAAACCACTCATAATCCCACCCCCAGGAGGAACCTGCTGACTCTATTGGCACATTTCCTTCTGCGTGGTTTCTGCTGATTTATATCATAGACATCCCTCCGTCTATGCGGTTGTTCATCCTGCTTCATTCAGTAAACAATAAAGCCCACAAATCTATATTTCAGAATTATATTTTAATGGCAGTGAAATATCCTACCTTTCGATGACTAAATTTATTCAACCAATTTCCTTCTGCTGAACACTTACATTAATTCTAAATGTTTGCTGTTAAAAATGCTGCTGCATTAAATCTATGTGCACATAAATTTTGGCTGCGTCATGACAACTTATTTCGGGCATATTCCCAGAAATAGATTTTTTTCTAGAGCCCTGGTTTGGCAAGCCAGAGGGTTTTCCATTGGAGCTGGCGGAGGCCACTCTGGGTGGGGTGCTGGGAGGCTGGCTGTGCTGAGGGCCCTCCCGTGCCAGGAGCCAACAACACGTTCTGTCCCCTGCCCTTTCCCCCCAACCCCCTCCAGAGAAGAGTGATCTTCTCATTTACCCACAAGGAAATCAGTCCCTTCCAGGCCTTTCTCTTGAGGCCATGGTAAAGCCCAAGCGAGATAAGGAGCTGAAAGTGCTGTCTAAACAGAAATGCTCTAATCAACAGAAACTACACCTTGTATAGGTGGTATTTTTCTGATTATAGAAGTAATTCTAGCTCACTGTAGAAGGTTTTGGAAAGTACACAAAGTAAA